AGGAAATTAACGGAGCCTCAACCAGGAAATAGAAGGCCAGGGCTAATAAGGAAAACTGGGATAAATAAATTACAAGACTACACATAATCCCCAATGTCTCTTACACTAACATTGATGAATTCTCTGAATATAACCTAGAGGTGACAATGCTTGTACTTTAGGTTTGTCTGTAACAGCAGTGACCAGTCAATAGCTTCTTACTTTCACATATTTAACTCTTTAATCCTCTATTCCTAGAATGGCTGAACAGTTTTACAAGCTATATGTCGGTATTCATCTTATTCTGTGCTTAAGGAAGGAAGAGACACAAAAAGGATAATTAAAAATCTCTGCCTGGTTATGCTCACAAATTAAATGGGCAGTGCTATATGGTACTATGGTTTAAATGTGTCCTCCGAATTTCATATGTTGGAAGTGTAATCCCCAAGGCAACAGTGTTAAGAGGTAGGAACTTTAAGAGGTGATTAGGCAATAAGGGCTCTGTCCTCATGAACAAACAATGCTATTTTGGGAGTGAGTGACTTAGAAAAGATGAGTTTGACTCCCTACAATGTGATGCTTCAAGAGGGCCCTCACTAGAGGCTAATGCCTTGATCTTGGACTTCCCAGCCTACAGAACTGTGAAGAAATAAATTTCTGTTATTTATAAATTACCCAGTCTAGGACATTTAATTTTAGTAGCATAAAATAAACTAAAACTTGTGGTGAGGTCCAAGAAACACAGAATTTCCTTTTCAACCTCAACTGAGAGGCCTAAAAAGTGACACTTAGCGGGTGAGAAACAACAAAGCCATTCTGGCCCCCCTGAAATACACACATTCAACTATTCTGGGAGCTCAACTAGAGGTAACCTGCAAAATCCTCCTGACCTTCAGTTGTATGAAAACAGTTGTTTAGCCAAGCTTAATTCTTAGTAGGTAAAAGGCCTGATGCACTCTGCTTAACATGTAAGCCTCTTAACGTAAGATGTACAGTTTTACATCACATAACCTAGTTGTTCCTGTCTTGAAGAGTAAGCCACACCAGAATATTCAGAAAGACTGAGATGAAAATCTACAGGCTGTGAGAAAGGGACCTTAGGATGCAATAGGGAACTTGCTTTTGGCTATATTACCTTCAATTAACACAAGAAAATGGCCCAGTACATAACTAACAGCGCATATCTTTAGTGTAAACCACCATGAACCAAGCTTTCAGCTTTTGGCTTTAAAAATAGGGACATTTGCAGAAGTTCAAGACCAGCCTGGTCAACATAGTGAAACCTCATCTCTACTAAATATACAAAAATTAGCCGGGTGTGATGGCAGGTGCCTGTAGTCCCAGCTACTCGGGAGGCTGAGGCAGGAGAATTGCTTGAACCTGGGAGGCAGAGGTTGCAGTGAGCTGAGATCGCGCCCTTGCACTCCAGCACTCCAGCCTGGGCAACAAGGGTGAAATTTTGTCTCCAAAAAAAAAAAAAAAAAAAAAAAGAAAAAAAAAAAGAAAGAAAAAGAAAAAGAAAGGTGGGGTGGACATTTGAAAAGGATGTTCCTTTTTTAATCTTCCTTTACACTCACACTAAAGGTCAAAACTGCAATGCAATATGGATTCTCGGGCTTCTGCCCAGTGCATGGCTACATGGTGTCTACAGTTTCCTAGTCATGCAAATGTGATGGAGGAAAGGCTGTACCCTAGCTGCGCTCAGTTCTCAGTGCTACTCCCGCAGAAAGCGGGACCCTGTTTAGGGTGATGATCCCATAGTGGGTAGAAAATTCTGAAGTACAGAGGGACTGGGGATGTTGCCCGCTTAGAAAGGAGAGTTTGCCCCAGTGGAGGTCAAAAGCATCACTCCATGGTCTGAAAAGGGAGGGGGGGAATGCACTGTCTTCTAATACTCAGGGAATTAAAATAAATTCACTGCAGAAAACAGTTGGGATGTGTTCACTGAAAGCAGAGGCATACATACACAGGGTGGCAGAACCGCTGCTGGCCAAGGTGAAGACACCAGAGCTCTATGTGGAGAGGTGGAAGATGCTTCATGAGCTAAATCCCAATCCCAGGGGGGCTGGTAAGACCACAGTCAATGACAGACATACTTAACCTTATCTCCTATTTGGTCAGAGCAGGACAAGCAAAAGTCCTGCTTTTGGGGAGAACATATGGTATTGGTCCCTGCAGTCACGGCAGTTAACAGATCCCTCAGCAAAGGGATATCAACTACTAGTACCTCATACCATGCCACAGTAACCCTAGATCAAGTTCGGCATATACTTCATTCTGAAACAGACGTTTCCTCTCATGCCTTTGACAGAAGAGTGGCATTGGATTCTTGATGAAGCCAGGAATATTCTGTTGAAAACGTCTGGAGGCACGTTTTTTTCACATTTGAGGGGAAAAAAAGTTTCTTTTTACAAACAAGCCCAAATCCTTGTAGCAGATATGTGGAAAGTATTAAAAGAAAAAGGAGATGGCTGCTTTAAGACATTTCCAGACCAGGCGCAGTGGCTCACACCTGTAATCCCAGCACTCTGGGAGGCAGAGGCAGGCCGATCACCTGAGGTCAGGAGTTTGAGGACCAGCCTGGACAACATGGTGAAATCGCGTCTCTACTAAAAATACAAAAAAATTAGCCAGGTGTGGTGGCAGGTGCCTGTAATTCCAGCTACTTGGGAGGCTGAGGCACAAGAATTGCTTGAACCTGGGAGGTGGACTTTGGAGTGAGCTGAGATCGTGTCACTGCACTCCAGTCTGGGCGACAGAACAAGACTCTTGTCTCAAAAACAAAAACAAAAGCAAAAACACATCTGCAGTATTACTTGTTTGCTAACTACAGATTACTTCAGCTTCTTGCTCACCTTGGACCTCTGAAATACTCTTATGAACTACTGAAGAACCTTTCCAAAGGAGAAATACTGTCACATGGGGATAAGCAAGAGTGGGAAATCACCATGCTCACTTTGGTTGTGTTGAGCTGATCTGCGATTGCCCTCTGGGGCTGATTGGAAAAGGAACGAAAAACGACATTATCACCGTGTATTCCCAACTTCATCATTTATCTGCTTAATTTTGACTATATTTTTCTTTTCTGTGGACACACTGTTAGAAATAGTGAAGGCATTTTGTTTTCTTTAAATATCATTTCTTAAAATTAATCATGCCTTATGTGACTAATCTTCAGTGATAATATTTCATGTATTCAATTGATATCACTTCTCAAAATGTAATTTTGATACAAAGGAGAGAGATAAGCTACAGTATCTGATGCATGAGTGCTGTTGCTTTTGTAAAAAATCAGTGTTGACACCTTATTTTAAATGTTTTATTGGTAATGAGAGTGGGTTTTGTATATCATGATCTTCAATTTAGCATACCTACGTAGAATTTTTTTTTTCAGAGTAACTATACTGAAATTGAATAATGATTTTCAAAACTTTTCTTAAAAAAGAAAAAAAAAAAGGATTCTACTGCTTTTGGTTGTTTTCATTATCGGCATAGGACTTCCTGGGGTCCTGTGGGTATCTATAACTGGTTTGATATATACAGACATATAGGTATAGACTTACCTATCTAGAAGAATGTATTATAACTGGTTTGTATCTATTTTACATATTATACAGTTGACCCTGGAATAACAAAGGTTTGAACTGTATGGGTCCACTTATACATGGATTTTTTAATACCACATGTGGTTCAAAAATACAGTATTCAGGGGATGTGAAACGCTCATACATGGAAAGCCAACTTTTTGTACACATGAGTTCCCCATGGCTGACTGTGGGACTTCAGTATGCAAGGATTTGGGTATAAGCAGGTGGTCCTGGAACCAATCCTCCACATATATGAGGGATGGACTATATAGCTCTTGAGTTAAAATTCCTCTATTCAATCTTCTGTTAATCTTTTATTTTTTAAATGAGGGTCAAGAAAAGACAAAACCAAGAACAGAAAGTAATGAGGATAAGCTATGGCTCTAAGAAAAGTGGTTAGCTAGATGTCTGTGTAATCAGGTAATGTGACTGGTAAATCAGGGAATGATACAAGTATTACATAGAAAACATGTCAGTTCATATGTGCTTTTTCCCACCTAGGAGTTAAAAGAGCAGAAGCACAGAATTATAACCTCTGGCAGGAAGAAAAAAAGCCCTGAGCTCTATGGTTGCAAAGTGAGTTCTTTCCGCTGTTTTAAGAACCTTGAAAAATGAATGTCTACATCCATGGCTTCTTCCCAGAGGCACAACCCCAGCCTTATACGACTTAAAGGATTTATGGTAAGGTGTACTTCCACTACACTTAGAGATCTACCTTCCTCTGCAGTTTTAGCAACCAGAAGCGAGCATTTCCATTCTGCTGTTTTTGGGTGCATTTTAAAATATCCTGTGATAGGCTGATTTGCCTCCCGGGCTCTGCAAGAACCAATTAATGTTTCTGTTAATGCTGTGGTCACAGTTGCATAGGTTTTGGGTGGTCTACCCCAGGACTATTATTCCCAAGAGCTCTATTAGTTTTAGAGTACAATTTTGCAGACTGTAAGATTTTTCAAGAACATATATATTATGTTACAGCAGAAAAGTCTATATTCTAAGCCCCAGTTTCTTTCTATAAAATTACTATTATAGAAATCAAACATGATAACACATATTTAATCCACTGGTTGGCCCAAAATAACAGGCTTCTTAATGTATCTTTGTTACTTTTACCTTAATATTCTCATACAAACAAAAATGGGTATGAGAATGGGCTTTAGTAAACATCAGTCCTAAATTATGTACTCTAGCCTGTGTCTGGGACGTCTCTTCCTTTAAAGGTAAATGGAATTAATTTCAAACAGCTTTTAGATGAACTGGACCCAGTGCACTCCAAACCTCCCCCGTTACCAGGGTTGTTCTACCTGGGCATCAAACTCAGATACTGTGTAGCTTTTCAGTACCCTTAAAGACAAATGTTATATCAACAGCAAGAACTTGAAATGTACAACTTTTCTAAATCTATAATACCAAAAACTAAATTTAAAAAGTACATACCCATATATGCTGCCCAATGGATAGCACGCCTATCTTTCTTGTCAAAAGCATTAATATTGGCACCTCTAGACAAGAGTAGTTTGACCATCTGGAATAAAAGTAAACACGGTGTCATAAAAATTGTGAAGCACAACTGTCTATGAGTGTACATTTGTGACAGTTACTTATCTCAATTTCTCTGGCACTAAATTTCTGCAGTTGCTGAACAGAAGGAGCTAGACTAAATACTGAAGGTCATTTAACATAACAGGACAATATATGAAAAAATGGTTAACTGTGGGTACTACTGAAGTCAGGCATCAGTACCTTCTTAGGATGCCACTTTGCGCCTTGGTATTTTATGAACTAAATACAAATCTGGAAAGTCTAAGGTTGAATATTTAATAAGAGGTTTTGTTCCTATTCATAGTCCAAAATGTTAAGTGCATTCTCATTCTAGAAATGTCTTAAACTTAATTCAAACACAAACATACTGCCTATAATATAATTAGACCTGAAGGTCACTGCATAGTCTGTGTGTACCAAAAATAGTAACTGCAACTAACCATATTTACGATAATTTCTCCATTGGAAGGCTACTGCAGATTTCAAATAGGGATACATCTATAACCTTAACTGCAGTTAAGGATTCTTTATATTGCAAAATCAGAGAAGTACAACAGTAGTCTCCCCTTATCTGCAGTTCCGCTTTCTGCATTCAATTACCTGCCATCAACCATAGTCTGAAAATAGGTGACTACACTGCAGTTAGTGGGATATTTTGAGAGACAGACTACATTCATGTAACTTGTATTAAAATTGTTCCACTTTATTATCTCTTACTGTGCCTAAATTATAAATTAAATTTTATCATTGGTATGTATAGAAAAAAAACATAGTATCTATAGGGTTTGGTACCATCCAATGTTTCAGGCATCCATAGGGGGTCCACGAATATATCCTCTGTAGATAAGTGGGAACTACTTTGAAAAAGACATGACAGCCACTAGCTCCCAGCCACAGAATCTTGGGAATGTTACTTTACCTATGAGTTCCTATCCCTGCAACAAAAATGAAAGACTAGACAAGCTGGCTTCAAAGGTTCTTCTGTTACCTTCTACAAATCTTCAGCATACACATAAGCTCCAACCTTTGCTATGACAACACCTGCCACAGACAACATTTGTTGTGTAAGATAACTAAATAGCAATTTTCTTAAATTGTTTTGATGGTTCTGTCACTAAAGAATTCTCTTGATTAAATGTTAATAAACTACTAAAAAGCATGTTTTCTAAATTCTGCCTTCCTTTGCTATTTACTCTACTTCTGGAAGAACAATAACATATCTCTGTCTTCACATATTTTTTCCTCTCACAATAATAGAACATACTTTTCCTGTTGTGTTAAAAGAGTTGGCAGTGTTCTCCTTGGTCACCCCAGGTTGACTGTGCACAAGTAGTATCTACTAAATACATTTCTAAACTTAAGAAAGTTATAAAAGGAGGCAAAATTAGACAAAAATGAGAAAGAAAAATAGTTCTGTATGCTTTTACTATGCAAAAATGCAAGTTCTTTAATAACTGGGGGGTGGGGGGGTGGACAGGAGAGAAAAATCACTGAATGCCACCTACCTCACCATGTCCACTGAAAGCTGCATGATGTAAAGCAGTCCTCCCTGCTCGATCAGATACGTTTACATTACTCAGAAGAGGTACCAAAGCTTCAGCACACTTTACAGCTTTATTAGCAGCAGCTATATGTAAAGGGGTTTGCCAATTTTTGTCTCGAGCATTAACATCTGCAGAATGCTTCAGAAGTACCTGAACTGCTTCCTAAAACATATGAAGATAAAAGTTATAAAAGACAAATGAGTAAGAGTTTCAGAAGTTATTTCTATATATAGTGTGCATGTGTTTGTGTATAAATATGTAAGTGCATAAATCTACATTTATTGTGTGTTGTGTATAAATCTACATATGAAGAAAATAAAAAAGCTCTCATAGAACTCACTATAAACAAGTAGGAATTTACCCAAGGAAACAAAACATTTTGAATGTAAAGGCGATACTCAGAGTACTCAGAGTCATATAAGATGCATCAAGATCAAATACTCCCTTTCCCTACCCTACCATTAAATGCATAAACATTCCTATCAAAATATGCAAGAAGAAATACTAACAACTATTATTCAAAAACATTCATTTATTATATCTTATTTTTATAGGTAACGAGATACAATTTATACTTTGAATAAATAGTTTTTTGGTTTTAAGAGACAGGATCTCACTCTGTTGCCCAGGCTGGAGTGCAGTAGAGCAATCATAGCTCACTGTAACTTCAAATTCCTTGGCCTAAGTGATCCTCCCACCTTAGCTTCCTGAGTAGCTAGGACTACAGGTGCATGCCACCACGCCTGGCTAATTTTTAATTTTTTTTGTAGAGACAAGGTCTTGCTATGTTGCCCAGGCTGGTCTCAAACTCCTGGCCTCAAGTGATCCTCCTGCCTGGGCCTCCCGAAATGTTGGGATTACAAACGTGAGCCAGTTGTAGAGCCACGCCTGGCTCTTTGAACAATTTTAAGTAATAGATTTATTACTTTACATTGCATATATAAAAATTAAAAACATACTCAATGTATTATACAGGCTATATTTTACAAAATGAAAAATCACTAGGATCGATTTCATGGAGGAAAAAAAAAAAAGACACAACATATACAAAGTTGTTTTTGCAGTGCTGCTGAGAGAGAAAGTTAAGGCAATTTAAGAGTCTACTGTCCAAAGGATTTATCTCCCAGAAGCGCATGGAAAACCTCACAACACTACCTCTATAAATTGGACTCATGGCAGAATTCCAAGGAATTCAGCAGGCCTTAACATTAACCAATATAATCAGAAGTAAACTCAGCAAAATTTTTCTCCTTTCAGTGATAATCCTACTTTTTGGTAAATGAATGCCAAACTACATACGAAAACGAAAACGACCAAAACCAAAACAGAATATGGGTTCTCATGTCAATTCTATTATTTACAAGGCATACTATTCAAGTCCTATAAAACTAACCCTAAATGTTCTTATCTGCAAAGAAGATGGGGGTGGGGGAAATAACATCTGCCTACCACTCTTTTCAAGTATGCTATAAAGCACAATAAACTAATGTACATGAAAAGTGTTAGAAAGTGAATATAGCTATAAATATACAGAGCATCCAGGAAGACTGAACAAAATATTGTTAGCCATGCATCACCCAAACCATTTTAGGCCTCTGAAATAAAAAGTAGTCGGAACTGTTTGAAACATGGGAAATCGCACCAGTACTTAATAGGGTTGGCAAAAGACTGAAGAGATGCCCAGTTATCTATCAAATTGCGAAGGAAGTCAGCCAGCTAATCAAAGATATATGGAGGCCTATCACTCTACAATTCCACAACAGTGATTTATCCAAAAGAAATTTTTAAAAAGTCTATCCAAGAATGCTCATAGCAGTTTTATTCCTAACCACCAAAAACCAGAAATGCAAATGTTCATGAATAGAAAAATGGATAAACAAACAGTATATCTGTACTATAATATTCCTCAGCAATGAAAATGAACCAATAATGCATGAAACATGGATAAATCTCAAAAACGTTGAACAAGAGAAGTCGTGACATAAAAATACATACTGTATGATTCCATTTTTATAAAGCTCTAGAATACGGAAATTATGCTGAGAGAAATCAGAACACTGGTTGCCTCTGGGGACAGGCAAGACTGAATGAAAAGGGACATGAGGGGACTTGCCAGGTAACAGAAATCTTCTATATCTTGACTGGGATAAAGGTTACACAGGTGTATACATTTGGCAAAACTTAAGGGTGTACATTAAAAAAATTCATGCATTTTAATTGTAAGTTATATTTCAATTTAAAAAGGAATATGGAAAGAAGAATAGATATAGAACACTCACAAAATTATGGAAAACAAGGTATAAACACTATCAAGATTCCTGATCCTCACCTCTGAGAAGAGTACACTGTGACTTGGGGGATCTAAAACTAACACTATATTGGGAAATGTTAGTAGGCATGTTAGTGGATATAACAAATAATTTAAAATAAAATGAACAATTTGTAATTGGATAAACTGGGCAAACACAGAATACTAGAGATGTCAGCCTTGCCTTATTCACTCCCATTCTGGAATTCACAATACAAACATTAAAGCTTCTGGAAAGTTTGGGAATACTTATGTTCCATTAGTAAAAACAGGAAAATCAATTCTACATTTTTGTTTCACTAAAAAGCAGTAACAAATCTGGTTCATAGTAGGTGAGTGGAGGTAAGTGGGCACCTAAATAAGGCAATAAACACAGCAATTAAGACACTACAGTATCAAGACAGATCAAGGTGTGAACCCTGAGTCCATTATTTCCTACTCAGAGTAATACATGTCAGACCACAATAGCAGTAGTTTTTGAAAAATCAGAGAAAACTGAAGAAAATCCCTAAAGGCTAGAGACATTAAAAAAGAAGAGGTGAATTTCTAGAACTACAAATCAAAGAGCCTGATTTCACACCCTAGGATAATTCTACATCATATTATCAGTGTATCATCATAAGCACACAGAAAATAATATTGGTATAACCAAAGGCACAGATGATTTTATTAACAAAAAATATCACAGTAATCTAAATTCTAAATTTTCAGAGTATGTGTAAGAAATGCTGCTTGTGTGTCTTGATTTTTTTAAAAGTAAACATTCCATGACATTAATTGAAACGAATTATGAAATGCAGGATAATGACTGAAGGTTAAACAACTGTACTCAGAGAGTATTTATTATTACCTTGGGGTCAGTATAAAAGAGGCTTCACAGTACCAGTTTTCCCCTTTGGTTTTATCTTTTTTAGCATTTCTTACCATTGATTTGAAGGAAAGCACAGGAAAAACAAGCGCTTAACATATTTGCAAATAAATACAAAGCTTGGAGAGACCACACAATATCTCATGTGATAATAGAATTTAAACTCAGTTATCTTGATAGACCTAAAATGTAATTCCTGATTAGGTTAAAATGTAAGTTGTATGCTCTCCAGTAGTGTGATCTGGCTTTTTTAACACACACACACACACACACCCAAAAACAAACAAAAACCCAACTCCTAATACTCGGATATCCATTAATTCAGAAAAATACGCAGCATTTACACAGAGCTGAACTACATACTACTCTGAAAGAATGACAGTCAGAAATCATAGTAGTAGAGACAGACTGAGACAGCCAGCTACTAGGAGGTAGTGTGGAAACTATGTCACTGAAGGAGAGTTGGGGTGTCTGGGATATTTAACCTGAAGCAGTCTCTCTTAACATAGGTTCAGTGAGATAATTAAGCACTTAAGGTAGTACTGTATGTGCTAAATTAAGTTCTCTCCTATACATCTACCACTGTGGCTAGCTATTCTGTCCTTAGGAGAATTTAGAAAACAGTCACTCCAATCAGCTTGCACAGGATTTAGTTCTCCCATGGTATCTCAAAAATATAAACCAAAAGCCATCAGTGAAAAACCCATCTCTCTGTGGCCATAGCTATATTTTCTGTTAAATGTAATAAACATAGCTACTTTTGCTCTCAGGACTTAAATGAAAATAAGTAACGATAGTGAAAGTGATACTCTTGACACTATTGAATAGGTTTTCTGACAGTTTCACTAGTTAGGAGACTTTATTTTCAAAAGAAAAATGATACTCAGTGTTTACAGAAGTTGTATCTTTTTGGAATGGCCACATTTTATAGCTGTTTCTCATAATCCTGCAAAAGAGTATCAATACTACATAGCCTTGTAATTTTTAGTTCTCTGTTTTTTTTAGATGGAGTTTCACGTTTGTCACCCAGGCTGGAGCACAATGGCCCGATCCTGGCTCACCTCCACGTCTGCCTCCCAGGTTCAAGCGATCCTCCTCAGCCTCCAGAGTAGCTGGAACTACAGGCACGCACCACCAAACCTGGCTTTTTTTTTTTTTACCTGTATTTTTCATAGAGATGGGGTTTCACCATGTCAGCCAGGATGGTCTTGAACTCCTGACCTCAGGTGATCTGCCCACCTCAGCCTCCCTAACTGCTGGGATTCCAGGCGTGAGCCATCGTGCCTGGCCAATACCATATTTTCTTTATCCAGTCGTTGATTGATGCTTATTTGGGTTGGTTCTGTATTTTTACAATTGCAAATTGTGCTGCTATAAACATGTGTGTACCAGTATCTTTTTCTTATAATGACTTCTTTTTCTCTGGATAGATACCTAAGTAGTGGGATTGCTGGATCAAATGGTAGATTTAGTTCTTTAAGGAATTTCCACACTGTTTTCCATAGTGGTTGTACTAGTTTACATTTCCACTGACAGTGAAAAAGTGTTCCCTTTTCACTGCATCCACACCAACATCTATTATTTTTTGATTTTTTTTGACTATGGCCATTCTTACAGGAGTAAGGTGGTATCGCTTTGTGGTTTTGATTTACATTTCCCTGATAATTAGTGATGTTATTTTTCCATGTTTGTTGGCCCTCTGTACATCTTCTTTTGACAATTGTCTATTCATGTCCTTAGCCCACTTTTTGATGGGATTCTTTATTTTCTTGCTGATTTGTTTGAGTTCCTTGTAGATTCTGGATATTACTCCTTTGTTAGGTGTATAGATTGCAAGGATTTTATCCTACTCTGTGAATTGTTAATGCTGCTGATTGTTTTCTTTCTATTTTATTTATTTATTTTTTTGAGATGGAGTCTTGCTCTATCGCCCAAGCTGGAGTGCAGTGGCACAATCTCGGCTCACCACAATCTCCACCTCCCGGA